CTTTTTTTTTTTTGTTTTGTTCTTGTCCACTTCATTTTTTTTTATTTTTTTTAAGTAAAAAAACCCATGGTACGGGCAGGTGTACTAGTATATTGTAGTAAATAAAAAAGTTAATAAAAAAAAAATAAAAAATGATGATATGCAGGATTACCAAGTGACTGTATTCCTCTACACGAGTCATTACTTGGTGGATGTAGTTAATGAAGCAAAAGGCCGTATCCTAAAACTCGACTCAATTACACAAGCAAACGCGTGGAGAGGTATGGACACGTTGATATTCAACACGTGGCATTGGTGGCCACATGTTGGAGTTGCTCAAGGGTGGGTTTTTCATTTATTTATTTATTTATATTTTTCTTAATTTCCTTAGTATAAATAAAGTTTAACTATATATATATTATATGATAATGATTATGGCATGCAGATGGGACTTCATAGAATATGACTCCACCATAACCAAAGATATGAACCGTCTCTTGGCATTCGAGAGAGGGTTGACCACTTGGGCTAACTGGGTTGACCAAAACGTTGACCCCTCCAAGACTAAACTCTTCTTCCAAGGGATTTCTCCCAATCACTACAGGTCATTTATTTCTCTCTCTATACTATTTTTATATAATCTTCCATATTTACAAAAATCATGTCTGTTTACCAAATAATTCATTCAAAATAAATTATTTTGAATAATTAATTAAAGTTGATGTGATGTGTAAGAATGAGTGATTTGTATTATTTGATTATATGAATAATATTAACGATAGTGAGGTTAAGTTAAAATTGAGTTAAATTTTGAGTATGAATTAAATGTGAGTAAATTATTTGGTAAACAAGCATGCCCTAAATCCACCAATTTAATTTTCATATAAATTACAAACAAAACATGTAACATTATTTATGTAACACAATAATTGGGTACACCTAATTCATGTTGTTAATTAGTTTTATTTTATTTATTTATGAAAATCAGAGGAGTAGAATGGGGCTCGAGATCAAGCTGCCTTGGGGAGCAAAGACCCATGAATGGATCAACATACCCAACTGGGAGGCCTAAGGAAGCTAAAGTTGTTGATAAAATTTTGAGTAAAATAAGAAAACCGGTTTATTTCCTTGACGTCACAACCTTGTCACAGTTGAGGAAAGATGGGCACCCGTCCAAATACAGCAGAGATCATAGTGGTAACGACTGCAGTCACTGGTGCATTCCTGGCTTGCCTGACACTTGGAATCAACTTCTCTATGCAGCCATTAGTTGATGGCATTAACAACATGCATGGATACATATACATATGTTCATACCAATACCATGTTGGTAATTTCTTCCATTTTATTTAATAAAAGGATCTTCTTGTTGAGTAGATCATAACATAGTGCAAAACAACTATTTATTGGTGAATGTGAAGTTGGATAACCAATACCATGTTTTCAAGGTAGTAGATATAGATCTTCACTTGCAATTAATATTTTTAAAATTATAAAATACTTGACAAATTCAAATAAAAAATATATTTTAAAATTTAGTAATTTGCATAGTTTTTAAACCCGGCCCGGTAATCGACCCGGACAGGTCCTCGGGTCACCGGTTCAACTGTCGGGTCATCGGGTCAATTACTGAACCGGATAATTAATTTTAAAATTTTTAAAATTATATGTAGAGTATTTTTGTCATATAAATATACATAATAGTAACAAAATTAAATGTTTTATGTATAAAATTTGTACATTTAAGTGTTAAAATCTGTATCTCATGATAAATATTTACCATATAAATATATATACATAGTTTTATTTTTTACAAAACAAAAAATAAAAAAAAAATATATTAATGGACCGGTCAACCGGGTTGACCCGACCGGGTCAATGCCCCGGGTCGGCCGGGTTTTGACCGGGTCCTTTGTTGCCCAGTCCAAATACCCCACCCGGACCGGTTCCGACCCGGTCGACCCGCCGGGCCGGTCCGGGTCACAAAACAGTGGTAATTTGTATATATGTTATCGATTTTTTATATATGATATATATATCAAATTAATCATATGTTGACGAAGTTCGATTTAACATTCATATTATATATACATAAAATGAATGAAAAATAAATAAAAATTATGGCTACAAAATTGTCTAATTATGATGAGGGCACAATGCCAAGAAATAATAGTCAACTAATATGAAATTTAATTTAAACAAGATGATAAGGCACGCGGCCAAACTTGGCCTGAAAAGTCTGTAATTTTGATTTTTTTCAGTCATGAAATCTTTATTTTTAACGCTTTAGTTTTATAATTTAAATTTTTATATTGCAATATTTGTTCTGATGGCACAGGAAAATAGTTGAGTAATGCCACATGTACAATACGGTTTGTACAATCACTTTGACAATGACATATTGACATGTAATTACCTATTCATCCTTATAATTGTAATATTTTAATTGTAACATTCTTAGAAATGTAGCACAAGAAGAAATGGAAAAATAATAACTCCATCTCAATCAGATTTCACAACAATTTGCACGACTCCATCTATATACAAATCCAAAACAATTTAGGAAACAGTCAAGGGAAATCAAAATCATCTTAAAGGTACCCAATTTCATCAAAATCCCCTTACCAGCGGAATAACCGACCGAAAAATTCTTCACGGCATTTAAGAATGGATTACCCATGGTCTCCTCATCAACCTCATTTACTTCTCTAAAGTCATACCTATAGCAAGGTACCAACACAACAAAGCTATCGTCTTCCTAATCATCGCTTTGGAAATTGGGGGCACGCGGCTGGAGCCACCCGATGGACCAATCCGAGACGTCCGATTCAGATCTCGACAAACAAACACCATGTACTTTTAGTTACCATATTGTCCTTATTATTACTTCCATTCTTGAATATTCAATACTTATAATTGTAATATTTTAATTAAAATTTTTTATGTATTTTTAATTACTATATTGTCTCTAATATCACTTCCACTCGTGAATGTTGATCCTCTACCATTCTATCCATGTAAATATCAGTAAGATTTTAAAACTAATACAATTTTTTTTTTTAACAATAACTAGTTATACTATAAAATAACAAAAACATCACAAATGTATAGGAGTAAATTTAAATAACTCGTCAATATATATATATATTCATGGAAGTTACAGTCAACCTCATTAGCTCATTAATACAAATATTTCATTGCAAAATCTACACGAATTACATGTACTTCTGTAAAATATTCCACGATGATATCCGCTATGGTAGATGAGCCAGGAATCATCGTCCATCCTGTTTAACATAAGCTACATATTAATTAAAGAAATGTGAAAAAAATACAAATATCTAAATTATATATAAATTTCATTTTAACTTCACTATACATAGAC